TTCGATCAATTATAGATGAGAAGCATAGCTACATTAATGTATTTATATTGTAAATAGCAATCACATTGATTTGGAAGGACTTCTTTCAGGTGACTGCTGGACTTTTTGAAGGGTTCTTGGTTGGACTTTTTGAAGGGTTCCTGGCTGGAGTCTTCTCAGAAGTCTTGGCTGCAGGTTTTCCTGGAGTCTTGTCTGCTTTCTTAAAGAAAGTGTCCAAGGAAGTTTGGACAGATGTTCTCTAGGTAAATGAGCAATGCAGGGAACTTGTTCACTGGCATGGCGTTGCATTGGATCAAACGTTGTAAGTTAAAACTAACATCATGCAGTTGAAATGGTGTCAATTTATAAATGTTGTAAGTGCGAAACTTAGTAACTCAAAATGTAAGTTGAGGACTGGCCTGTACAGTGGTAATCCTTCAAAGGAGAGTCAGGCCTGCAGACTATTAGGCAGAATCTAACTCTAGGAAGTGTCGGTCTCTAAAGCTGTGTGTGTGTTTGTGCATGTGTGTGCATACACATGCAGGCATATACCTACTGTTGTCCTGTGAAACATAAAAGTAGATATCCTCTTTCTGAATATTCAACACTTGAATATGTGCAAATAACACACCGTGTGCACGTAAAACCTCAACTATACAAAATCCAGTTTTTATTCTTTTGACCACGAGGAAAAATAGTTGCCAATAGGAAACCTGGCTTCCGTGTATGTGAGAGAAATCTTTGGAAGCGATAATAAAAAATGACCTTTAATGTAGGCTTGAGCAGTTTTATAATAGCCCTGTAACATTTTGGTTCACAAGGATAAAAACCTATGAATTGAGTAAATTGACTTAACGTTATTCTCTCTGTTTTATCAGTCTCTAGACCCTGTTACTATTGGATACAGTATATGTTGCAATGCAGTAAAGTAGCTGAATCTAGTCTATAACACATTTTAAAATTATATCTCTGAATTGTAATCTCTCCTGGAATATGGCAGGCACAGTGTACATTTTTGAACTGCACAGAATTTGCATAAAATCAGCAGCTACTTGTGCAAGTCAGACTGGAGGTCAGGTGCTTATGACTCAGTGGATAGACAGATGTGTCTCTCTGAGCACAGATGGAGTTCTCTTACAAATGTAGGAGCATGGAGCAAAGCCCAGGGGGAGTGTATTCCTGCACAAAGCAACCACGTCAGAGTAGAACTAATATGCAATCCAATGGGCAGAGATTCTGGTAGCAGCTTTCATGTGATGGGAGCTTGCCTAAGATATAAAAGTACTGACAAGCAGAGAGAGAACGGTACGTCCCAAGTGAAGGGCAGCTGTGTACTGGGGCTGTGTGCGCTTGCTTCATCTACAATAATTACCACATTCTAGTTTCAGGCATGAAGATTGCTTGCACTAAAGAAAGCAAACTATTGATCTTCAAAGCTCCCATCGACGGGCTTGCAGTGCAATACTGTAGATGAGTTATTTCTAAACCTGAAAAACGCTGCAGCTTTTCAGACATGGTTTCTCATTACATCTGGCTCTCTCTCCCATCTTTAGTTAATGCCTTTGAAAAACCAGGTACATCACCCATCAATGGAAGTTTTGAAGGAACTCTTGGAATCCCCAACATCTCGAGTTTCTTTTCCTGGGATAACTACACCCTTGCTGAGTGGCAGAACTTTGTGGGCAGGAGCAGATATGGAGCAGAGTCCCAGAATCTGACGGTGAAAGCCCTGCTGGTTGCGGCATACTCCTTCATCATTGTCTTCTCGCTCTTTGGGAATCTCCTGGTGTGTCACGTCGTGGTCAAGAACAAGAGGATGCAATCTGCCACCAGCCTGTTCATTGTAAATCTGGCTGTGGCAGACATAATGATTACTCTTCTCAATACTCCCTTTACTTTGGTAAGACGAAGCACCAAAGGTCTCTTCCCTCTACCTTTCCTTTAAAATGTGAACTTTGGTAAGAGAATTATAGAAATGGCTTAGTATGTGGATCTCCTTTCTAGGAAATGACAAAAGGTACCATATTAAAGATGCAATTTGAGCTTTCAGTGATACTCAAAGAATTCTTGTCCATTAAACAACCTTTTTTACTCATCCTATTGTTGGCAGTTAAGTATTTCCTAGTCTGTCCACTTCCAGTGCATGCATGAATGTTCTGTAGAAATGCTTGTTAGTGATCTTTGCAATCTGTTTAATTAGACTTTGGCAAATTTAATGTTTTCTCTGATTTTATATGATTCATTTGAAAATCTGATGTTAATAATAAAAAGATGTATGTGCTTAAGGCAAAAGACATTGTCAGCACTATATAAGCAATAATAACAGTGCTGTTTAACAGCATCTAGTTATTTTTTCTTCCTTGAAGAGTTTCCAGTACAATAATCCATTGCAGTCTAATACATAAATAAATATAAAACGCAGTATAATTCTCTCTTTAACAATGGTTAATGATCAGTATCCTTTTACATGATTTGATGAAAAGATATATTAGCTTTGTACCACCCAAGGGATGCTCGGTGATCTGTGTACCCAGCACAAAGGGCTGCAAAGGAGGAAATGACTTATTGACAGTTCTTTAGTACAAGAGAAATATTCTGAAGGAATAAAATAAAAACACCAGGAGTCACTTCACCATACTGATCTGATGCAGTTGCTGGATCAGTAAGTAGCATCAGAACAGTTGGACTGTCAGATCAGCTCCTGATAGCTCCAATCTGTTTAATGCCCTGTTGCAGGTTTCAGAAATCAGCAAATCATTTAAAGAAGAAAGAGTAGATAAAACAAATAGGATTGTGTTAAACCAGTGATTCTCAACCAGGGTGCTGTAAGATCCTTTTAAAAGTACCAGTGGGTACAAATGCCCACGCATGATTCACAACATAAACCCAGAGATTTCAAATAGGAATCCATAGCGTCAAAAATATTCTGAGCTACTGTGTTCTGAGTTCTCTGTGACCAAAGAATTGCTTTAATATTGTTCCATAATCAAAAAGTGCCCGAAAACGAAGAACTGACATTTTCTGAAGGGGTGGCTTGAGTCTAAAAAGGTTGAGAATCGCTGTGTTAAACAATTTGTAGCCTGCAAATTCCATCCTTTGGGGAAGGAAGTAGAAATAATGCATGTGACAGGTGCCTCAAAAGCTGACTCTGTTCCATCGTGGGATTATTCCTAGGCTCGTTTTGTGAGCAGTACCTGGATCTTCGGGAAAGGAATGTGTCACATCAGTAGGTTTGCACAGTACTGCTCTCTGCATGTCTCTGCCCTAACCCTCACAGCAATTGCAGTGGACAGGCACCAGGTGAGAGTGCTCTTAAGTCTTGATGAACTGGAAATGCTTGCTTTAAAGCAGTGGCTAAATCGCATCCTCTTTATACCTCAGATCTCAATGAACATAGTGCCAGGTATGTAAGGAAATGCCAGTATGATGATGTGTTTTTTTATTTAAGTAGTTTTCAGATATCATGTCAAAAGGGGGAGTAAATACAATATAGCGGAAGGTAGATGGGACGGTAGAGATGGTCAGAAGCCCAGGGACCTGCCAGATGGAGGAGGGATTTTCTTAAAGGGTCTCCCAATGGAAAATTGAAATTTGCAGCAAAAATAGTGACATTTTGTCAAAAATGAAATTGTGCAAAAAATGCATTTTCTGTCAGAACATTTTTGAACCAACTCCAAATGTATCGTCCCCCACAATTCTGTCTTGCTTTATACAGGGAGAATGAATGTGAAAGTTTTGTGCGTCTCCCCATAATTTATCCTGTTTAATTAGACCCAACCTGCAAATGGATGCACAGCTGCAGAGATTATGCCTGCGTAGAGCACCTCTGAAGTGATGCATTGCCCTAAAGTTGCAAACCCCTGGAAGCACCCTTGCTTACTTTACTCATTTTCCTCAGTGAAAATAGTTCAGTTTATATAATTAATTTCAGCTTCTGTCACTTGAAGTCATTTGGAGCTGTGTATAGTCACTGGCCACGCAGCACCTGGCCAGTCAATGTGATGTTTACTGCAGTAATTAAAGCTGGGAGAGAAGGTGCAATTTTCAGAAGTTTTACTGTATATTTCCCACAGGTTATCATGTACCCGCTGAAACCTCGCATTTCCACTGCAAAAGGTGTTGTCTACATCTCATTTATCTGGATCATGGCCACCTGTTTCTCCCTCCCGCATGCTATCTACCAAAAATTATTCACTTTTGAATACAGGTAAGGATGGTCCCTACTTGCAGTCTGCAAGACCAGATGCATAGAAGTGATAAGTTGGTAGATCATTGAAGGGAAGAGGCTACACTGATCTATAATTGAACTAGAGACTTGACCTATAATTTGCAGTTTACACTATGGTTGCCTTCCAGTTCTTATTGTATCTGTATTCTATTACTTTAGTTTTATTCTTCTTATGATTAGCAAGACAGAGGCACAGATCCTCATTTGGTAAAAATTGGCCTTGACACCAGCCAGAATCTCCATTGATTCAAACTACTGCTGGGAACCAGAAACTCATGGGTACTGATTTAACTCCTGCTCTGCTTTGTGTCTCTGTCTCTGTCTCTGTCTCCATTTCCTCTTCTGTAAAATAAGGATGTTAACACCTATCAGATATGCTCAGAGATTTGTGCTGAGGATTACGTTTGTGAAGTGTTTTAACAGTAACATTTTTATAAGGTACATTTTTATTACAGATCATAGAATCATAGATGTAGGGTCAGGATGGACCTTGTAGATCTTCTTGTAGTAAGTCTGACCCCCTGCCTGGGCAGGAGAAAAAACTGGGCTCAAATGATCCCAGCTAGGTAGGCATCAAGCCTCCTCTTAAAGACCCCCAGGGTAGGAGCCAGCACCACTTCCCTCGGAAGTTGGTTCCAGATCCTAGCTGCCCTGACTGTGAAGTAGTTCTTACGGATGTCTAATCTAAACCTACTCGCCAACAATTTGTGGCCGTTATTCCTTGTTATGCCCGTGGGCGCTAGGGGAAACAAAGCCTCTCCCAAACCCTTCTGGTCCCCCCTAGTGAGTTTATAGATGGTCACCAGGTCCCCCCTCAGCCTTCTTGTGTGAAGGCTTCCCTTTCTAATTTCTTTCTTATCTGATACCAGGCTAGTTAATTCATTGTTGTTGATCCTCTTATTTACAGTGAAGAAGTTATCCGCTGCCTGTGTCTCCCAGATTTTCCTGAACCAGCTGATCTCTTCTGGAAGTATCTGGACCTAACAACCTTCATCTTGCTCTATGTTCTGCCCCTTTTGATCATCTCCGCTGCCTACCTAACAGTGGCCAAGAAGCTCTGGCTGCGCAGTGCTATAGGGGATGTGACTACGGAACAGTATTTTGCCCTTCGTAGAAAGAATAAAAAGACCATTAAGATGCTGATGTTGGTAGTTGTCCTCTTTGCTGTTTGCTGGTTCCCATTAAATTGCTACGTTGTCCTCCTTTCCAGCCAGACTATTCGCACTAACAATGCCTTATACTTTGCTTTTCACTGGTTTGCAATGAGCAGCACCTGTTACAACCCCTTCATTTACTGCTGGCTCAATGACAATTTCAGGTCGGAACTGAAGTCTTTGCTCAACATGTGTCGAAAACCCCCTGGGCCAAGAGAGCACAAGCATCCATCCATGGTTCCCTCCTATAAAGTAGCCTGGCCAGAAAACAGCAACTGCAAGAAGTTTCAGGTCTCCCATGGGCGTCCCTCAATCTCTAATAGCCAACTGGGAAAGACAGACATCTCTTCAGTTGAACCTATTGTTGCTGTGAGTTAATTGAGGTAACAATATGAGTGGTTGTGGGGGAAGTGTCAGGATTCACCAAGAACTGAAGATTTACTGCAGGGCACAGACAAACGTACATGGTAAAGGCCCCTTTGTGCAGGTAACTCTGACTCACAGGAGGCAATGCACTTCCACTGGCAAGAGTGTGCACAACCTTGTCTAGCCAGAATGAACTCTCACAGAAGAAGTATAAAGGACAGAAATACAAATATCAGTAGGAGTACAATTCTCACAGAAGAACTGCTCCCTTTCTGACCACGAGCACAAGGGAAATCTACTTAATAAAAGATGAATTTGGGAACAAAATTTCATAAGCTGGCTGAACACTAAGCAGCAAGGACTGAACACTGGTATTAACTTTATGGCACTCTACCGTCTACCTGATTCCTGAAATTCTTCCTTCACACTACAGGTGATAATGACCCATCTCCCTTCTGATAGGTCTTGATGTCCCAGTTAATTGTGTGTTTGCTACCCTATAGGAATTTCTCTCCCCATCCAATTTCACAGCTCCCCTACTTTGTCATCATTGCTGTGCATGCTTCCCTCCCCAGACCTGACGCAGAATGCCTTCCATTCAAAAGCTTGTCTAACTATATCACAGCCATGCAGTTGGTCCTATACAAATTATCACCCACAAAATTCCTTACCTCTGACATCTTTAAAGCAGACTGGCAGAAAATATACATGCAGCCTCCAAATGAAATAAAGACAGTAACCCCCCCTGAGGGAATAGACAACTGTTGTCCAATTGTCTTTCAACTGGTTGGCAACACAGTACCCTCTGGGCTGGATTCTTTCCCATAGAATAGTGCCTAAGCATGATCCTATTCCACGTGGTCATCATGGGTGACCTGAACTTTCCAGGCATCTGCTGG